TTGTGGTAAAAGATAATACTCTGTAAACTATGAAATATGAATGCTAATAATCACACAGTAATAAGTAATATAGTTAATTAACTAGGTTGCTGAGCAATTTAAAGAGTGCAGTATCTTGGGTCTTGTGCATATATTGGCTGATTTCAATGTGATTTCATAGTTTCATAAAAATCTCAATTTTTCTCATGGTGGGTCAGAACGTAACATGAAATGCAGCTGATGTAATGGTCACTCTCTGTCCCTGATCACTCAGGCTCTTGAGATCCAGAGGTCAAGAGTGCACACAGACGAAATCCCGCTCCGCATTTTTCCAGTGCAGTACACCGAATGTATTCAGCAGAGATTTATAATGAATTCTGATAATGTTATGTCAGTCCAAATTAGATTTCGAAATGGTGTGGTATTATGGGTGGGATTATATTCATTCGTTAGTTTTTGTGCAGATGCCAGAAAGTTTAGCACCATCTGTGCATGTTATGATTTGGATTATGAATGGCAGAGACAAAAATATTATTCTGGACTGATTATTTTAAAAAAAAGGTATCACTTTTTTATATGGAAATTTTGTTTTTGTTATAATTCAGTTACATAATGTTGATCAAATGTCGACAAATGTCTTCATCACAGAATCACTTGTTTTTTGTGTTAACCATATTGAAAGTACAAGAAGTCATGTGAATCATCATAGCAGACTACTATCTCATATTACCTGCAAGCTCAGACCATCTTACCTTAAGAGCTAGTATAATACTGTGATTGAAATGTCCACTCTTGGCAGCAATTGTCTTTCATTTTGCATTACACAGCACCTCATTACTCTGTAAGAAACCGTATTATCTGCAGATTGTAAAATCCTCTATCCTGCATTTTCTTCAGTTGAGATTAAATCTGCACACTGAGGAATCAGTTGATATGAGTACTTTAGACCTGTCCACTGAGAAATTCTGTCCCTGCCTCTAACAGATTGATGATCTTACATAATTCCATTTTTTTTAAATTGTTGTTATTACACAGTGGTTTAGAAATTTCCAGCCGCTTGCCTAAGCAGTTTTTGCAGTATATTTCATTAGTATCAGAAATGTCCAAGCATTTGTTTGTTTAGATATTAATACTCCCATCTGTTTATATTTACTTATTTAAAATGTTGATATTTTCAATAATTTATTAAATAATTTATTGAAAGGGATTTGTGTGTGTGTGGTTAATAAAATGTAATTAATAAATATACCTGTGTATTGTGAAAAATATTTCACCTTAAACCTCCTGAATTTTTATAATCTATTCATACCCCATTTGCAATTTTAATGCCCTCTTCTCTGTCTTTCTTTAGATTATCTCATACGTCAGTGGAGGCTTAAGTCATAGCACTTCCCAGTTTGCAGGTCGAGTTGGTTTTATGCATATTATGCCCAACACCAACCTGTCCCTGTACATTAACAACACCAAAGCATCAGACTCAGGGAAGTACATGTGCCAGGTCATTATCCCGGGCGTCCCAGGACTCACCGGAGAGCTCACCCTTAATGTTAAAGGTGTGTACTTACTGCCACATTGTGGTGCACACATGCATAGTCATAAAACACACATGCATGTGTACATGTCAGATACTTGTTCTGTGACACAGGCCAGCGTTTTCTGGATTTAACATCACATAACCCATCCTGTCTCTTTCAGTCCCTCCTTCAGTGCCAGTTTGTCAAGTTAAAGCAAGGCCTGTTCTTAAAGGGAACATCACTCTGGCTTGTAACTCTGATGATGGTAAACCTGCACCAGAATACAAGTGGACCAAGACCAGCCCCACTTCAGAGGTCTTCTTCCCTCCCGCACAAAGTGAGTCTGTCTGTGTGTCCAAGTAAGACACAAGAATATATTTAAATGTATTCATTCTCCATTCTATTAGCATTAACATGCCTCTCCAAAAATGAAAATGTACATACCCTACTGTTTCAAATTCATATGACTATATATATTTTTTTTTTTTTTGGAAAGAGGTGAAATTTTGAAGAATGTCCACTGATAAAGAAAGTAGCATAAAAGTATACTTTAGTAAGTCATCTACGTGACTCTGGATGCAGTCGCAGCAGTTAACAGCTCACTAGAAGGGAGGAATATTAGTAAATGTTCAATTTATTTCGGTTGGTTTGTCATATTTGGCTGTCGTATTACTTCAAAAGAGTGCATACAGTCGATCAGTTGTATTTCTCTTTTTTGCTTCTTTTGTGTTCCATCGAGGAAGGTAAGTCATGTAGAGTCAAACCAAAATTTATTCGGACACCTTCAACATTTCTCACATTATCACAGTTTATTCGCTATAGTTTAGAAAATGGTAATAAAATATGACAAGAACTCTGTTAAACTGTGTCAGAACAAATTCATTAACTTTGATAGAAAGGTATGTAAAGAATTAGGTTAGCTGTCAGCTGTTAAATTTAAGTACACTCTTAAAAATAAAGGTGCTTCAAAAGGTTCTTCAAGCGATGCCATAGAAGAACCATTTTTGGTTCCACAAAGAACCATTCAGTCAAAGGTTCTTTAAAGAACCATCTCTTTCTTACCTTTTTATAATCTGAAGAACCTTCTTTCGCCACAAAGAACCTTTAGTGAAACAGAAAGGTTCTTCAGATGTTAAAGGTTCTTTATGAAACCATTTAGACAAAAAGGTTCTTCTATGGCATCGTGAAGCACCTTTATTTTTAAGAGTGTACACCGATAATACCATTTTTGGTCAATTAATTACCAAGCAATGCTTAATTTTGTTCAGTCTGTGATGTAAAAAGGTTGCATTAGCAATTAAAGAAAAACACTTAAGCAAAACATGGTCAGGTCAAAGTGTCCGAATAATTTTTGGTCCCGAATTTTTATCCGTTTTACTGGTAGTTCACTGTATGAAGAATTTTTGGGTATAATATGCCACAGTTTACTTTATTTTGCTGTCCTCACTTACATAAATGAACTATAGTGTTGTGCACCCACTAGTAAAAATTTTTTTTTAATTATATCTGGTTTCTGAATAATTTTTGGTTTGACTATGTTTTGAACATCATGAGGGTGAGTAAATAATTTCAGAATTTTCATTTTTGTTGAACTAATCCGCATGACGAGGAAACCTTTTGGCTTGAGATTAAACCTTAAAACCATATATTTGTTGACATTTGTTATGTAATTCTTGAGTCACTGGAATCAAATCCTTGGATATATTGTATAAACATTGCTGGCATTCAGCTAGCAATATGTTATCAGTTACTGTGACACTCTGTGATCTCGGGTTTCAAATATTTGAATGTTTCTAATCTCTGGCTGAATTATTTTTGTAATCATGCAAGTCAAACTTTACCCTCATACTGTTGTTGTTGTAGATGAAACAGCAGGAACATTAAAGCTGAACAATCTGAGCAGTAATATGTCAGGGAAATACATGTGCACTGCATCCAACTCTGCAGGAGTGGAGACGTGCTACATCAACCTGGAGGTCATCACATGTACGTACGGTTGTTTGCTCATTACATACATAAGCTTTCAAAAGTATTAAGAAATTATTTTTTTATTCGGCAGGGATGCATTAAATTGATCAAAAGTGACAGTAAAGACATTTATGTTAACATGACACTAACTTTCTCTTCATCAAAAAATCCTTAAAGTATTACAGTTTCCGATTTTTAGAAATGTTTCTTGAGCAGAAAATCAGCATATGTGAACATGGACCACAAAACCAGTCATAATGGTAAATTTTTTTAAATTGAGATTTATACATCATCTGAAAGTTGATAAATAAGCTTTCCATTGATGTATGGTTTGTTTGGATAGGATAATATTTGGCTGAGATACAACTGTTTGAAAATCTGGAGTCTGAGGGTGCAAAAAAATCAAAATATTGAGAAAATTGCCTTTAAAGTTGTCCAAATTAAGTACTTAGCAATGCATATTACTAATCAAAAATTACGTTTTGATATAATTATGATAGGAAATGTACAAAATGTCTTCATGGAACATGATATTTACTTAACATCCTAATGATTTTTGGCAAAAATCGACTATTTTGACCCATACAATTTATTGTTGGCTATTGCTACAAATACACCTGTGCAACTTAAGACTGGTTTTGTGGTCCAGGGTCACACATTAGAATTACTTCTGAAGAATCATGTGACACTGAACACCGGAATAATGACTTCTGAAAATTCAAGAATAAATTACTTTTAAAAATAGAAAATCTTATAATAAAAATTCTAAATAAAAAATTCAATCCCACTTTATATTAGGTGGCCTTAACAACTACTACTATGCACTTACATTTAAATAAATCATTTGATACAATGCACTTAATGTGTACATACATGATTTTACGTTGTACTTATATTTAAAAAAAATACCTGCATGTAATTAATGTCTGTAACTACATTTATAATTACACTGTTGACTCATCCCTTACACCTTAACCCACCTTTAAACCTACCCATACCTCCAAACCTGTCCCTAACCTTACCCATATCCCACCTCAATAGCAGCAAAAGTGTTTTGCAATACAATATGAACACAATAAGTACATTGTACTTATTTTTTATGTACAGTAAGTACATAGTAGTTAAGGCAACCTAATATAAAGGGGGACCAAAAATTAAATCTTACTGTTTTTTTAAACGATTGTATTCATTCTCTTTTTCATACTTGATGTTTAGCCATTTAAGTTGTCTGAAGATAAAAAGTGTACATTAAGTACATTAAGCGTACATTAACTTTTCCTACAGCGACTAATGCTGGGATGATCGCTGGTGTCACAGTTGGTTGTATTGTGGCTCTCATCCTCATCATTCTCTTCCTCGTCTTCATGTGGACAAGACGGAAAGACACAGAGGAGGATTTAGCCAATGAAATCAAGTAAGATAATTATGATTTATTGATTGATTTAATGATTTCTAACTTGTGTAGACACTAAGTGTTTTTGTGTGTTACAGAGAGGATGCTCAGGCTCCCAAACGTGTCTCATGGGCCAAGAGTGGCACTGGATCTGACATCATCTCTAAAAACGGTACCCTGTCCTCCATTCACACCAGCTCTTACCCACGAGACACCCAGAACCACCACCATTACCCTCACTCTGACACTGCGTCCATCCTCACGGCCACGGGCAGCACAGCCGGCTACCACTCGCAGCCTCCAGCAGACGCCACCCTGGAGCGCACATTGCCAGGCTACAACACCAACCCCACCCTGCCCCGTGGACCCTCGGGACCCCCCAGCACCAATGGAGGCTCCCAGCACACCTCAGTGCCCCGGGGGCCAGCCTCCACTCAGCCTCAGATTCCACGTCCGCCCGTGCTGCCCATCACCGTAACTGCTGCCAACATCTCCCGCATGGGAGGGGTACTCATTATGGTGCCAGCGCAAAACCAGGCTGGCTCTCTGGTGTAGGACCAAACATTTCTGCTGAACCTCTGCAGAGGACATCATGTCTGCGGTCCCTCAAAGTGAAGCACATTGGAAAGGATGAATTGGAACCGATAAGCTTATTGCCTGTGTATGGCAATAAAGCTTATATTGCAATGTCATTTTCTTTATTTACGTTTTTTTATTTTGTTTAAATATAAAAAATGTAAGCAAATATATGTAAAGATGCTCATTTTATTGTTTTATAGTTTTTTTACTGTTCAAAGTAATACAGAAAATCCTCTACTTTCTGTAAAGTGTAACTTGTTTAACTGTAAACAAAAAGACACTGACCAAAAAACAAAGATGTTGGAATATTAGTGCTGACAAATGATTAATTAGTCCAAAATATAAGTTTTTGTTTACATAATATGTGTGTGTGCTGTGTATTTTTATCATGTATATATAAATACACACACATGCATGCAGGATATTTAAGAAAAATGTTGTTCGTATATGAAATATATTTATATATAATATAAATTATGAATATAAATATATACATGTAAATATTTTCAAAATATATGTGACCCTGGATCACAAAACCTTAAGTCTTAAGTCGCTGGGGTATATTTGTAGCAATAGCCAAAAATACATTGTATGGGTCAAAATTATTGATTTATCTTTTATGCCAAAAATCATTAGGACATTAAATTGAGATCATGTTCCATGAAGATATTTTGTAAATTTCCTACTGTAAATATATTAAAACTTAATTTTTGATTAGTAATATGCATTGCTAAGAACTTCATTTGGACAACTTTAAAGGCGATTTTGTCAATATTTAGATTTTTTTTTGCACCGTCAGATTCCAGATTTTCAAATAGTTGTGTATCAGACAAATATTGTCCTATCCTAACAAACCATACATCAATAGAAAGCATATTTATTCAGCTTTGAGATGGTGTATAAATCTCAATTTAAAAAAAAAGACCCTTATGACTGGTTTTGTGGTCCAGGGTCACATATACTGTATGTGTGTGTATTTATACTATATACATAATAAATATACACAGTACACACACACATATATTATGTAAACAAAAACTTTTGTTTTGAATGCGATTAATCGTTTGACAGCACAATTGGAATTATTCACTTTTTCACTTAATTTTATTTGTTCTTTTTGTTACTGCTTTACTGGTTGTTATTTTGCTAACTAGAGGTGCTATCTTGCCTTGATGGAAACGAATGAAAGGTCTATTCCACATTATTTACAGACACTCCTCATGAATATTTAAGTTTACATATGTTTAATACATATGCGATCAGTCCACCTTATTTTTCAATGCAGAAGTAAGCCATTTAGTTTAAATGGCTGCACCCACTCTTATGTTAAAATGAAGGTGGATAGCATATGTTTCATAGCAGCATATGTTAAGGGAATGTCGAGGACATCACTTAAAATGTGACATATTAAGTTGCTATATTTGCCTTTAAATGTTTTTTGGCCAAATATTTAGAAATAAAGCCGTGTTGTTATCTCTTAGAGATGTGTGGTAGCTTTTTTCAATTTCGAAGTGTAGAATTTGGTGGTATCTTAATTTATATTGCATTTTTGTACCCCATGATGATATTTTAAAACTAATGTATTGAATTGAATATGTAAACTGTAATTATAAACATTTCTTTACCTTACTGTAAATAAGGTATTTATTTCTCATTCTAGATCTGTGGTCATTTCATAATTTTGCAGCAAAGAAGTTCATGATTTTTCTGGTTTACTGGATACAAACCCAAAGAGTTCCTGTTGATGTGTGGATACTAGTTTTCCTTGTCATTCTTATCATCATTGTACCAGAGCACTGCGAGTGCTATACAGTTAAAGCTGACAAATTTCTAACAAAAGAAATATGACAAGCAGACAGGCATTTAGGCTGCAAAAGAAGGTCATAAGGGTAAAACATCCAGTTTCCAGGAAATAAATGCACCAGTGAAACATAAACTCAAAAGTGGCTGTATTTATTTTCTTAATGCACATCACTGAACATCCCAGTTTTACTCAGAAATAAGTCAAATTATGGAAGTAAAATGGGTTCATGGTCACTTTAAGTAGGCTATAGCAGACCATATAATAAATCACAATAGCTCATCTGTAAGTATGCCAAAAATCATGTTTTTTCCCCACATATTTCATAAATGCTTTTAAAACTGCTGTAATTTTTTTAAGTATGTTGTATGTACTCAACAGTGCGACTGACTGTTTTTCAAGCACAAACTATTTTACTTTATTTTATTAGAAATGTTTTATTGTCTGTACCCATGTCAATCTTTTTGTCATCTGCAGACTGGACAACCTCAAACTGTTCTGTATATATGACTATTTACTGTCAGCAGACATGAAAACACTTTGTATTCATATTTTTGATTAAAAGAAACTGGCTGTAAACATGCAGTCTGCTCATTTAAAAGGAAATATAGTAATATAGTAGTAATGTTCTATAGAGTCAGAAATGTAGCATCTACAGTATATCATGATGTAGGCTATGTATTTGTTGTGATCCAGTCCTGGCATATTGACCTACAGTGACCAAGGTTTGTGTTAATGCTTACTAATATGTAAATTAATGTTTTTTGATGGCGGAAAAAAGGTCCTCATAAAGATAAAAAATGCACAATAAAATCAGTCGTGGGTGCGCACTATTTTTCGCGCGCTTTCCTTTGGAAAGTGTCCAAGTGAACGGCTACGAAGACTTGCTTTAAAACGAAGAGAGCAGAAGGTAAGATACTGTTATAACTAGTCTTTTACGACTTTTCTAGTGACCCATTATTAATAATATTTGGGAAAGATAACCTAACGCGTTACGTAATATAAATAAGCCGCAAGCTCTGTAACGTTTAGTCAGGGTCAGACTCGGCTAAGATAAGCTCATTTGACTGCTGCATTTAAAATGAGCAAAAATGAATTCCTCTGTTTTCATCTGTTATCTAACATTTGATATATTTCAGATATTGTGTTAAGACACTGTATTAATCATTTCAATAAACAATTCACTCAATTTCAATAGACAAAAGTAGTAGGCTAGGACATGGGCAACATATCGGAAAAAAATATTCCTAGGTAAAATGCTCCTAGATATCTGTTCCAGGGGACAAATATCACTTCATATTAAATCATATGAATTGATATTTTACACTGGTTTAAGCAGAACTAGAAAGAAAAGTCACTCACATACGAGCATGACTCTGGAAACTTTTTTCCATCTAATGAGTATCAACAGTTTTGATGTCACCAGTTATTAGGTGTACGTGTTTTAATTTAATTTAAACGTTTAAGTACAATATTAAAGGTCCCATATTGTCAAAACTGAAATTTCCTGGCTTTTTTCATGATAACTGAGGTCTAGGTGCTATGTAACTTCCATATACGTTTCAAAACAGTCAGTCCACAGTAAAATGCACACAGCCTGCATAAAGTAGCTGTGATTTTTCACGAACTGTTGTGACTTCCGTAAAAAGTTGACGTCAGAACTACACAGTCACTGCCTTCAGTCACCACCCCGAGCACCGCCCACCGTCCCACCCTCCTTTTGCCAAACCCCCAGACAACATTGCGGAAACATGTCGAAAAGGTTCACTTTAACCATGAAACCAGATCGGCCGACCTGTAACATTACACTCTCACTCAAAGGATGGACGATCTGACAGGATTGTTATGGATGACATGAGGTGGATCACATCTAACGTGTTAGTAAAGACAAACTCACGAGTCTATCTAGTCATGATGAAGATGTATATACATTTCAATTTCAGCAGGCAACTATTTTTACAGCTACACTATTGTTCAAGCCACAATTAATCACAACAATGTATATACAATTACAAATGATTATATATAAATGGTCAGTTTGTTGTTTTATACACATGCGCACAGACATAATTTCATACACGACATATTCATACAGAAACATAGACATATGGCAAGAAATCTGTAGACGCGCCCATAACAACAAAAGACAATACTTTATTTAACCTTTTCTGATAAGTGTGCTCTGCAAACGCGAGCATTTTTGACGATCGTTTCTGTCCAGTCTGCTTGTTTTATC